CATTTTACATTATACACTGATGAGCAAAGATTTTTCCTTACCTTTGCAATTTTTAATCAAAAAACTGTGTTTGAGGGTAAATCTGCGCTGTCTATTGCGTATCCAATGCATTTGTGTTATATTGCAACGACATCTCCCAGTCTCCATGCATGTTTTTTTCTGGGGCACTGCTTCCAAAGAGGACAAGCTCTGAGCATTCCCAATGCATCAGTGTATTTTCTCCTCTGTGATTGGCTTGTGATGCAGTCAATTTCATTTTGGGGGTGGCCATTTGATTGTACGGGCTCTGACGTTTCCAAGCCCTCAACGACCATAATCTCACAAACCTAGCCTGAGATAAGTTCCCGTTGCGTGAAACTCAGAGTTCATGCACCATTACGCACTTGTACTTATTGAGTGCTACAATATAAAAGTTAAACTGATTTGTTTTTGGTATTTTTGCTATATTTATCCACTAAACATTCAGCAGACATCATCAAAGTAGTTTCTATGGCTTGCCAGCAATGAAGCATAACTAGATGACTCATTGGAAATAGCTTAGTGGGTTAGTCATTGAGCTATTGTGCAGGTGACAGTTGTATATTTACTTGCATTTTGAACACACACAGTTGAGTAGACACCATTGCAAACACAGTATTTGCGTATTGTTTGTTGTGATTGCTGTTTTTTCTTTTTCTGCAGTCCAGCTGCCAGGCGACATTATGCACAAAGACTCAAAGAGCACAGTAATGAGTGCAGATATACAGTCGCTAAACCAGTTTGTTTTTAATATTTTTGCCATGATTGTCAACTAGATATTCAACAGTCTTTTTCGAAGTTGTCTTTTGAAAGAATCCATGCGCGGTTACGTGCAATTACTGAGAGAACACTGAAATACAAGCGCACAATGGGGGTACAGACATGTTTTGCTGACTCACTCTTGAAATTTACAATACTGCAGCAATGAGACTGTCTATTTAGCTAGCTTAGTACCTAGGTCGTTGCATTCAAATGAGGGAGGTTTGAGGTTCAAATCTTGGTTCAGACAAAGGATTGTTTTTGAGCAGCAGGGACATAGTTCTTGTATAAATAATTGCTGGGTGGTTGTTGTTTTTAATTTTTACTATTTTGACTTTATCTTCGTATTAATAATTTTGTTTATTTGCTTATTGTATTAAAACAAATGTATTAATAAATCTGCTCCAGTGGAGTCAAACTTCATTTCCTTTGAATAGGACAATGTATACAGGACTGGTTGCAAAATAAAAATAAATAAAAAATTAAAAATAAAGCAATAAAATTGTTGTAATTAGATGGAATGTATGCCTGTAGTGACATACAAGCAAAATTAAATGAGTTTTACAGTTTGGTACCTGAGAAATCTGAAATGGCGCACAGTGCCAATTTGGAGATGCCACCTAGACATTCCCTAACTAAAACCTATCTAATTTTCCTCTTATTTACTTGATTAGAATAAACCTTGGCACAGATAATGGTGAGATTCTGTGCCATAATTTTTTAGAGGTTTCAGACTGCAACCAAATCATTTCAAAAGGGATAAAAGTAAAACTTTATTTGATGCAAGTGAGATCTTTCATTTATGCTGTGTTTCATCTTCATTTACTCTGACTCAGTGACATATGTACTGATTTTTGCACCATGACAAAAATCCCCAAGGTGTTACCTTTATTATGGTACCAAGATCATTCAAATAGTTGCAGAGATATACTCATTTCATTTAGGGTTGTCATTTTCGAGCCAGAGACTCAGAGCTTAAGAGGTTAAATGTGGAGCACTCTCATTTTAAAGATGCTATCCCATGTTAAAATCTCTTCAAGAGTCGGGCTGCTCATCAATGTCAGTTTCACAGCGGTCAACCAATCACACAAGAAAAAAAGGCAAGAATTGTATTTTCATTGGTTCACTTTCATAAACAGTACTAGTGAAAATGCCACAATATTAGGGGTAATCAGCTAAGCTGTCACTTATCGTCTCAGCAACATTAAATGCTTCTCCCTTTCTCTTTACTTTTAAGAGACAAGCGTGTATGGTCGGATCTTATATTTTTCGCATGCACTTTTACTGTGTGCACGGTCCCTTAAGGGGGCAGAATTCTCACTCTTTTCTCCCTGAGCGGCACCAGCAAGGTCTCCACGCATTTGGAGAATATGCCTGGGGCAAGAGATGATCTGAACAATAGGTGACAGTATTGGTAGCTGTCCTCCCACTGTGAAGTTAGGTACTTCCTATGGGGCAGAGGATTAGGAATGTGGAAATACACATTGGTCAGGTCTATGGCTGTCATCCAGTCACCTGGCAAGATGCACTCCGAAGCTGTCTGATTGACAGTATGAGAGGGTGCGTCTGTGCAATGTAGCCATTCAGGATACACAGATTCAGTCATGCCCCACACTTATTTGGGCGCCAAGAAATATGGGAAGAGATATGCCCGTTGCTCCAGGACAGGAAGCACCAAATTGGCTCTTTTCAAAGAAGTGCGGCTATTTCCTCCACTAAGACTACCCTCTCGGCAGGGATAGAAAAAGAAATCTGAAGATTTCGGCTGAACTGAGTGAGGGTTTTTGCCGTGGAATTGCAATGTGTAGCTCGGGCATAGAGGGCAGCTGAAAGAATTTTCTCTCTGAGTTAGGCCAAGCTCCTGCCTCTCACTTAGGTCCTCCATATCGAGGGCTGACTGCAATAAACAGTTATGTCCAGATGTTATATATTGGACATAACTGTTGATTGCAGTCAGCCCTGATATACTCTTTATGAGGGCAAAACACTAACCTGCAGGTGTATTGTTCGGTAAAATACTCTAATGCAATACTATTTGGTTGCCAGTTTTTCCTCAGAAGCGTTACGCTCAGTTGGATACCATGCATCTGGCTCTAACAACCGACATCACGCATGTATACGTGGGAGTGGCCGGGCCAGCAAGGCGGCAGTTTCTGCGAACTCGCATATGCCCCAGCACAAGCCACGCAGGCCAATAGCCAGATAAGGGTTAAGAATCACTTGTTGGCGGGTAGTGATCAGTTTGGGGTGTTAACTATGGAAGTGGAAGTTGATGATGAGCTGGCCTTGCACACCGCTATTTCCTTGTACAGGGCCCTCAAAATCGCCTGCCGGACATCCCGGAGCAACAAGAAATTTCAGTTGGGTGACTGCAATTTCCTTACTTACGTCCTGGCGGGCAAACATCTTCTATCACTGATCATTATGGCTCAGGGTGGCGAAAATAGGGGATCCGGGCTGCGAATTTGGGATTCCCAAACCATATCGGAACGGGAGAAGTTTTGGCAACTCTGATTGACTGAAAACAAGTTTCGAACAAGGCTCTGCAGCCAATAAGATTCTTAGGAGGGCATACACGCTGTTGGGAGGCACTAGCTCTCATATGATTGCTCAATTTCAACGAGATCACACCCACACGACCTTGTACCCTGATTAGGAGCTTCTTGTTAATTGAATGCAGCATGAATGCAGTTTGGCCAGATACATGTTATTTCATTGGTAGTTGGCAATAGCTACATTACACTGTCATGTGTGCAATCACATATGACATTACTCTTCAGATTATATAGCTAGCTGCTAACATTTATTAAGGAAACTCTTTGTAAATTGTCGTCATGTTTATGCAATGTGATGTGGTTTTTGCCTTAACTTGTCCACGAGCAAGCTGCAACAGTGATTGCTCTTGAGCTAACAACCAGACTTCCCAAAAAATCTAAAAGTACAGTTGGGACACACGAAAGCCCCACAAAACATATAAGTTTACGCCCTCTACAGCTTGCAAGTGAAGTAAATCTAAGAGTACAGTTTGGATGCATGAAATACAAGTCTCACTTGGTTAGTTTTGCTTCACGGCAGCAGTCACTGTTAGGTTTACATTTTCTATGGAATTTTAGTTTGAAATTTAATTTGCTCAAATCAGGGAGGTGCATTGCTACCAACCAATGTTACAGCATTGGAGTTCAATTTCATCATGGAAAATGATTGAAAACAGATTGAGGCTTATTAGTGCTTGTCTTATCTGAATGAGCAGAACTGGCCACACCTGATGGTCTTGAATGTTCATGTAAAGTCAATTTAACCCCTTAAACCCGAATGCCCCCGGTACCGGGGGCCGTCGTTACGCATAATAAATACAGCATGTTTCCTAATAGCAACTTTATCACACAGCTTATCCACTTTACGCGAAGAAACTCGGCTAAAAGCTCATGTTGACCATTTTTACCTCAACCGAACACAATTCAAGCACCAAGCAAGTGAATAACCATGTAGAAAAACACAGGATAAAATCAAATCAGCGCTGAGTCGCTAGCATTTCTACTGAATTTGTGCTATGCATACAAAGGATACCTTAAATGAAAGAGGAAAGTCCACAGAATCCAGCAATATAAGCCTTGTCATTTTAAACTGACACCACACTCATTGAACAGCAGGCATACACTTACCTTTGATATTTTGGAATAAAAAACTGTTTAAGGGTAAATCTGCGCTTGCTATTGTTAGCCCTATGTGTCCATGTTATAAGGAAACTATATCTTCCAGTCTCCAAGCATGTTTTTTTGTGGGACATTGCTTCAAAGATCTCAGCTCCGTAGCATTCACCTTGCTTGCAATGTATTTTCCTCTCTGTGATCGGCTTGTGATGCTGTCAGTAAGACTTTCCCGGTAGCCATTTGATTCTATGCGTTCTGATGTTTCCAACGAGCGCTAAACCACCTTAATCGCACAAACCTAGCCTGAGCTAGAGCCTTGCATTCCCAGTGCGTGAAATTTAGTCCATGGGCCATTCGCATGTACTTGAATAGCGCAACAATACAAACGCTTAACTGATTTGTTTGTGGTATTTTCTGTATAATTATCCACTAAATATTCAACAATCATTTTCAAAGTTGTTTTCTGACAGAATCTTTGTGCCAGTCCGCGTGAATACTGAGAGTACAACAGTACAGGAAGTGTTTTCTTGACTCATTCTTTATCTTGGCAATTTGACCCTCATTTGGGAGTCAGCTGATGTAGCCTTGCGGTTAGGGTGAAGCGCTTCAACTAGACTGCCAGCGTTCAAATCTCAGCGTCGACATGTATTTACTAAGGAAGTAATAGCATTTTTCTTGTAGAAATAATTTCTGGGGTTTTTGTTCTTTTTACTTTCTTTTAACCATTTTTTACATTTCCTTTGTATTTATAATTTTATTTATTTGCTTTCTTTTTTTAAAATAAATCTGCTCCAGTGGAGTCAAACTGCATTTTCTTTGTATGTATTATCTTTGAATGGGAAATTGTATGGCTACAGTACTGGCAGAAATAATACTAAAAAAATTTTTTTTATTAAAAAGTGGTTGTATTTGGATGTAATGTATGCCTGTAGTGACTTATAAGTGAAATTGAATGAGTTTTACAGTTTGGGATCTGAGAAATATGAAACGGCACACAGAGTCAGCTTAGAGAGGCCACCTAGACATTCCCGAAGTTAAACCTCTCTAATTTTGCTCTGATATACTTGGTTAGAATAAACTTTGGCACAGATAGTGGTGAGATTCTGTGCTGTAATTTTTTAGGGTTCCAGACTGCAACTGAATAATTTTACAACAAATAATAGTAAAACTTTTTTTGGTGCAAAAAAGATGTTTCATTTATGCAGTGTTCCATCTTCATTTACTCTGACTCAGTGACATATGCACTGATTTTTGCACCATGACAAAAATCCCCAAGATGTTACCTTTATTATGATACCAAGATTATTCAAATTGACCAATTCGTTGCAGAGATATAGTGATTTCATTTGGGGCATGTCATTTTCAAGCCAGAGGCTCAGGGCTTAAGGGGTTCATGAAACAATTGAGAACAGGTCAATACCAATGATTATTTTCAAGGAATGGTTTGTTTCTCACCTATTTTCAGTTCACCAGGCACCATTGTCATATAAGCCCCCACTTTTGCAGACTGGATAGCACCAAAAATAACTATATAATTATTTATTTCGCATCATATGTGTTGTGTTTCCAGTGTCCTGTGCCGTCTGCCAGGACACTGCGGGGGGTTTAAACAGTTTCTTGTGCCAGGATTCATTATTCATGTTCATTGCTCATGTTTTTAGATTTTGCCATGTTTTGTTTCTCGCTCAGGTCTGGTTCCCGGTCTGCCCAGCCAATCTGCCTCTCCAGTGTCTGCGTGCCCGTATCCATGTTTTATGCTCGCGCTACATTCGGGAGTGGCTTACGGTTTCAACCTTCCTTCTTACGTTTCTCTTTTCTGGGCTTCCCTAGTCTTCATGCTACATTCTTACCTGTACTTTACTATTTACTAGTTTAACGCTTTTCTATTCTTAGTATCTTACTGGATTCTTATATGCTGCAACACGCTCATCTTCTTGATGAGCATTTACCTGCTCTCCTTGTCTCGTCTTGCTACGCTTGTTTTCCTCTCTCATCCTTGTGCCATGTAATTAAGCAATCTCGTTTCTCCCTGTCGCTCTACAGATGATCCTCATTGTCTCGTGATTTCTTCCGCTACATCTGGGGAGAGGCTGGAGTTGGCAGGCCGACAGTCTCTCTCGTTCATGTTCTTGTCCTTGTGTGTTTTGCTTGCAGCATTCATAGTATTTTTCATAGCTCTCGTTTTGTATTTTCACATGTGCTGTGTGCCATCGCTGTTTTCATTTATTATTTGTTCATTGGTTGTCTTCCCTAGAGTTTTTAGTGGCTTTTGTTTTCTCGTTTTGTATTTTTAGTTTCCTGCTCTGTGAAGCATTTTCGTAGTTGTATTTTTGCAACCCTTTGGGCCAAGTTTTTGTTTGGCCATCGCGCCTGTTTCTTTTCTTTTATAATAAAGCCTGAATCCAGTCTTGCTATCTCGCACCTGGTGTCCACCTGAGTCTCGCAACAATATGGACACTGGATTGACTTTCTAAAACCCGCTTCCATCTCGGGCTCATAGCAATACGGCTGACCTGTTCCAGCTACCTAAATTGCAACCTCAGATTTACAATCTTCTGACAAATCTGATATTTCAGCGGACTCCGAAAAGCATTTTCTCTCTCATGCTCACTACTGTTGTTGGAAGTGTTGTGCATGATTTCTATTGAGTTCGGAAGTGCAAAATGGCAATGTTATTTTGTAGTTCAAGACGAATGTGTAGATTACTGGAGATGACGTTAAATGGATTATATAATCTTTTAGCAAGTTCCAAGGGGCGTTCTCAAGCAAGGTTTTAATAAAGGAATAAGCCCAGAGAAGCAGTGGGTTACAGTGATTTTATAATGGCGGAGGGGCATTCTAAGGCACGACGCGCAGTGGAGTGCCTTAGTGCCCCTCCGCCGTTATAAAATCACTGTAACCCACTGCTTCAAGGGGCTTATTGCTTTCATAAAACGGTTACCCTGCATATAGCCCATTAAATAAACACACAAGAAAAAAAATCAACAATTTATTGGTAATAATGCAACAATAAAATTGAGAACTATTCGTTCTTCCACCAAGCAAGATCGAGTGGACAGAATGGTTGGCAAGCAACACAGACGCTAAGATCGCTTTTTCATCTAGCCCCATTATCATGTCATATCAGGCTATTTGGGCTCGTTATTGTAGATATACTATGAAAGCAGGCTATTTTGAATGTCTCCTTCGGTCTTCCGAAGGCCCCGTTAAATAATTTTACGTTCGTTTCGGTTTTAGAGTTTCCTTGTTATCAACTCGCGCCGATCGGCCATATCATTACGACCAGCAGCAAGAGTAGGGAACAAGATTGACTTTGGTCCTCCACACTTGCCGGTGTCCAGGCAGCTTGTCAACTAGCTAGCGTTCACTACAATGGACCCTACACATAGCCCATAAAATAAACACACAAGAAAAAAAATCTACAATTTATTGCTAATACTGAAATAGCAAGTTAGTTAGCAACGTAGCTAGCAAGCTAAAGTGATATTGAAGTATATAGCTAGCTAGGTAGATAGCCAACTGGTTAGCGGGTTAAAAGGCTTAACTTCGCTAACACTGAAATAGCGAGCTAAAATTCTTGAAACAAACGTAACCTAACGAGTCAGTTGAGCGCAGAGTAGTTGGTTGCTAGGCCAGGCGCGCAGGAATACTTTGTGTTGTGGTCTGCCTCAGAATACAGGGGGTTACACTGATTTTATACCGGCATGGAACGCGGCTCAGCCAATCACATTTAAGGATGGGAAGCAGCCGTTTTATAATTTGCATTTTATACTTCTCATGAATAGAAGTATGAAAACTAGTGTCAGATTCAAATTCACATGGTAAAAGTACTGTAGAAAGGTAAAAGCAATTTTTTTTTTTTTGAAATTTTGGGTGTCAGGTACGGAAGGTTATTGCTGCCAATGAAAAAAAAAAAATTTAGACTTTTTTTTTTTTTTTTTTCCACAGCTTATTGCTGCCAACAGGGGGGAAAATTTTTTTTTTTTTTTTTTCACAGCTTATTGCTGCCAACGTGGGGAAAAAAAAAATCCACAAAATATTCTCCTGACTTACTTAACATCCAAATTTGCAAACCCTCGCTTTGCACTGAATTCACTTCTTGAGCACCCAGTGACTGGAAAACAAAAGATTCAGTTGCCATCTCCTGCCACAGCTGAAAGCCATCTCACTGGAACTGCATGTGCAGGGAACCACGAGTAACCAGCTGGGATTAGTTTCAGTAAAATGGAAAACTTCTGTTTCTTCTGTAAAATAGAATACATGCTACCTTTATTTCTTTTCTCATTGCTTGCCACACACCCAACAAATTGGACGGTTCATGGTCAAACATAATGAATTATGAGGATCAATCAACAGCACTCCTTTCTTATGGTAGAGAAGTACAGTACCATAAAATGGGGTAATAAGGGACGGCCGGGTAACAAGGGACAATTTTATTGGAAAGTTTTCAAACGCAAATTCAAGTTTTTTTTGGACACTCCCTGTCATGATACATTATTTTAATGATACCTTGGTAGGTGAGTTGGATATGATTCTATTGTTCTTTTGTGATTGACAGCAATAAACAGATTTGACACATACTTGGCCAGGATGCTTTGGGAGGAATCAAAAAAAAAAAATCTCAAAAGTGTCTCTTATTACCCCATTTTACAGTATATTGCCAAATGTTCGTGGTGACTATTTGGTCTGGGCATCTTTTTCATTAAGGCTAGACCTCTTAATTCTGCTGAATGAAAATCTTAATGCTGTATCAATCAATCACATACCAGATTATTTTATGCTTCGAGCTGTTTGGGAAAGGCCTGTTCTTGTCACAGCATTACTGCAGTGCTCAAAATGAGGTGCATATGTGGTTTGCTGCCATCACTATGCAAACTCTTAAATGCTTTTGCGGATGGAATGGTTACAAATATCCAGCGATGCTTTAACATCTAGTGGGAAAGGCTTCCCAGAAGAGTCTGTCGTAGCAGCAAATGGGGGGACCAGCTCCTTCTTAATGCCCACAATTTTGGAATGAGACGTTGGATGAGCAGATCTCCCCATTCTTTTGTCAATTCAGTGTATTAATACACTGGTGGTTTCAAATTGCATGCCTCGGGCCAGAATGAGGTGCACATTTCTATTCTTACTCAGCGCTAACACACAAGATTGTGAATTATATGGTGCCCACCCCCAGGGGCTCTGAGGGGCGGGGTTAAAAGTGGTCAATGCATTTTCAACGACTTCTCAGAAACCGCTGATCCGATTTCAATAAAATTTTGCAGGAACCTTCCTTGGTCAAATATGCGCAGAAATTGCGAATTGTATGGTGCCCACCCTCAGGGGCTCTGAGGGGTGAGGCTAAAAGTAGTCAATACATTTTTGACTTCTACTCAGAAACCGCTGGTCCGATTTCAATACAATTTCGCAGGAACCTGCCTTGGTCAAATATGCACCAAAACTGTGAATTATATGGTGCCCACCCCCAGGGGCTCTGAGGGGCGGGGCTAAAAGTGGTCAATACATTTTCGACTTCTTCTCAGAAACTGCTGATCCGATTTCATTACAATTTCGCAGGAACCTTCCTTGGTCAAATATGCACCAAAAGTGTGAATTATATGGTGCCCACCCTCAGGGGCTCTGAGGAGCGCGGCTAAAAGTGGTC